TTTTTTTTAGGTTAACGATTCTCTTGACCAAGAGTTCCTTCGATCCAGACACACTTTGCCCAAGTTTAAGTAAGCACTTCTGAAGGCATTCTACGCTCCACTTCGATGGATCCTCGGAAATAACCTTCGTTTTAACTTCTCCAAGGGAAATTTCGGGCTGGCTTTCCTTTTTCGCGGTCTTTTTACTTGATTTGCTTTCCATGTTGTCGAGAAAAGGCAAGTCATAAGGTCACGAAAGAAAAGCCAAAAGGCCACTTCCGTCCGGATAAAATTAAATTAGTGCCAGTCTCTCTCGGTTTGAAATTGGGCAATACATATAATTTTTGTTGAGGCAGGTTGGTTTGAGGCAACCTAAAGGTTGGTGGGGACCTGCCAGAAACTTAATAGGTTAACAACGTCATAGGAAATGGTTTCGTAAGGTGAGTTGTTAAAGGAAAAGCATCATCTCCAACAGCAATGTAGTGAAGATTGATGCTTTGAACTGGCAATGGCCTTAATTGTGTTATATTTAGTTGATTTTAGTCACCAGCAAGCATCTCAGGAAAGCAATTTCACCTCCAATTTCCTCCACTGCTCATCCTGCCATGCATCCCAACATCAGCAGTCAAGATTTCATAATCAGGCCCCACTGCTACCATTACAAGGATGCTGTCATGCCCTTTATAATCATAATAGTGGCTTCCACTGCTGGATGGTTGCTGAATGATAACTCTTTTGGAATTGACTGCATTTGGGAAGTTCCACCAACTTTCAACTTTTGAGGAAATTTCCAACCACTTGCAATTTGAGTTTGGCACTTCCAGGAACTTGGGTCCAGTTACAGAAAATATGACTTCACACACCTTAACATCATTGCATTCATTTTAGCCTCTAACTCATAATTTTGCACAGTTTAATAAATTTGTTTAGGCATAACATTGTTGAACTATTAAGTTAAGTGGACCTCACAATGACTGTAGCTGGATTCTGTGCTAAGGGCGATTTAAAATGTTAATTAATCTGAATTAAACTGCAACATTAAATTACAATTTAGTGAGTCACATTTATCTGCATTACTAATAATAGATTAAACAAAAACATATTTAAAAAACTGATTATTTCATGACTGTTCTATCAAGGGTCCATTATCCAGGTATCAAAGGGTTTCCTTTTTCCTTGCATTGACATTTTAGTGAAAGGAAAATTCTCAGTTTTAATTACTAAACCTGATTCATTTCCCATCATACAGCAAGACAAACTAAAAGTACAGCAATGTTTGTGCACTACCAAGATTATGTATTTGACCCCTAAGCATCCCATAATAGCAATTTGAAACAATTGAATCCAAAATGGCTGCCGTATCACTGAAAAGGTCCATTACATTTATAGCAAAGTTTGAAGTATGGAGGGAAAAATATGTTCTTTTTGCTACAATTCTGCTGCTATATACTAGTTAGAGATGTATTCATTACAATAAATTTGTCAACTGATGTTGATAGAGAATGTTTCTCAAAATGGATAAATGTAGATTGGGTCATGTGCTATGAGAGAACTTGTTTCTTTTTAAATATATCATTGAATGAACTGGAAAATATGTCAAGAAACAGCCATTACACTAGTGTATTTGCTGCAATCAAACATAAGAACAATGTTCACATGAAAGGATATTATGACATGAATGTATATGGTTTATTACCGTATGTAGTCATTTTGAAAAGCAAAGCTTAACTTCTTGCCAGCTCTTGAACTCATTCTATTTTTTCTTAGGTGTTTTCAAGGATGTTACTTTTCAATGAGTGGATGAAAAACTTCAACTCCTTTCATGTCAGCTCATTGAGCAAATGCTCTCTTGGTTGATTCCAACATGGCAGTTAACAATTCCTCAACCAGGCAATTGTACCAGCACATCCTGATGGATCAAGTTTGTCACACTGATAGTAGAGGTAGACTTCAAGATGTCTACAACTCCTTTACACATTTTTGCCTGTTTGGGGTCCTTTACAGTGTGAATGCAATATAAATCATCTATTCTTAGGCAAAGGAATTTGTTATCCAGTTTAAAAAAATGGAGAGGACTGTTTCAGTAACTTAGTAATTTGACAGTTGAACTCTACAGTGTACTTGGATAGTTTGAATTTTGAATAATAAAATATATGTATACATTACAATGTACCCTGAGAGTTAACTCTTTGCAGTTCATGTAAATTTATGTCTATTATATGGTCTCCAGTATAACACCTAGAACAGTAAGAACAGCTAGCCAAGTTCTTGATTGTCTATCTATCACAGATTTAAAGACATCATAGCCACTCTCTGTTCTGGGAGTTGCCCTTTTTTCTTCATTTTCTGGTTACTTGTTGAAGCTTGATGAACAAGCCAGGTGTATGCTTGTCCCAGAGTTATTGTTCCATTATATCTGGGTTAGCTTTTCTCCTACAATATCACAGTCTAGTAGTTGCTTAAAAAAAATTCAGGAATTTTTTCACAGAAAGGTGTCTCTGAAAGAAAGTGGTGGCAATTTTACAATCACAATTAATATATTATAAATTATAAAACATTGTTGTAAGCTTCTAAAAATGTTAACATTGCTGTTCACTGTGATGTGCCCTTTAATTCTACATTTTATCTCTGTAAATCAGCATCAATTTTTTTTTTTGGCTTCAGCTAGTTGCAGGAATCTATGGTCTGGGAGGTCCCATGCTAGAATTATAGCTTTCTCATGAGCATGTCTTCACTTTTTCTACAATAAAGGAAAGTGCAAGGGATAATTTGTTTAAGCATGATGACTTGATAATAAGTGCATACAATTAAATTCAAACCTTCAGAACAACTGGGGTGCACTTGCCTCTTCTTGATGGGGGGACTTGTACAGTAGTTGATGGTTGGTGTTCATCAACCAGAACCTGAAGTTCAGTCAAGGTCACATGTTTCAATGTAGAAAAAAGGCCCTTAATTTACTTCCAAAGGAATGATATTTACAGTGCTCCTTGTGAAAGAGTGTTACTTCTAGAATAAGGAATTAAGCACATTAGCACATAAGCACATTAGTTCCCATATCTGTTGAGTTACGGAGCCACAAACTTGTTTTTTTTTCTTCAAGCTTTGTCGAGCCACTCTGAACAGGTCAGCGGATAGCCATAATACCCACTAAATAATCAGCCAACCAGCAGTTTTTTTTCTGTTGCGCCATTATGTTATGGCATACAGAAACAGAGGGGTTTTTCATTTGCATTTAGCAGTGAAAGGGTTAGCTAGTATGAACATATAAAGGGTGTGTATTTACACCATGATCCTGGGGGTAATAATAATAATAATAATAATAGATTTGTATAGCGCCATATCCAGGGCTCATGGCGCTTTACAGTAAAAAATGTTATTAAAAATAAAATTTACATTAAAAATTTACATTAGTGATAAAAAATTACTAACAAATAAAATAGCTAAGCTGTAAAAATGAAAGTGAAACTAGGAATCATTAAAACCTTTAAATAAAAACTGACTAACTTAACTAAGTGACTGACTAACTAACTAGCTAAACTATCTAATCTACTAATTAGCTAACTAACCAAAAGTCTAGTTATAAAATTTGTTAAAAAGATATGTCTTTATACAAGTCTTAAAATCTGATAGCGAGCCGCTCCCTCTTATATTGTTCGGAAGAGAGTTCCATAGGCTAGGTGCTACAAAAGAGAAACACCTATGACCATAG